GCTGCCTGGCATCAATGCACATGATCTTCATTACTGCATTATACTAGCAAATTGGATTCCTGCTCTTATTCTTTTTGTTAAAATATGAGCACATTGGCTGGGCATCGTGGCTCATGCCTGTGATCCCAACACTTTGGAGGGGCCAAGGCAGGTGGATCACTTGAGGTCAAGAGTTCGAGAATAGCCTGGCCAACATGATGAAACCTTGTCTCTATTAAAAATGCAAAAATTATCTGGGTGTGGTGGCACACGCCTGTAATCCCAGCTACTTGGGAGGCTGAGGCAGGAGAACCGCTTGAACTCAGGAGGTGGAGGTTGCAGTGAGCTGAGATTGTGCCACTGCACCCCAGCCTGGGTGACAGAGTGAAACTCTGTTACACACACACACACACACACACACACAGACACACACAGAGAGAGAGAGAGATGATGTACATTATGTCAAAACTCAGCTAGTGAGAAGCATAAATTATTCTGTCTACAGGCACATCTTCTGAGAGTAGAAATATTATTTTATAGATGAGAACATTTGCTTGAGTGCTTAGTACCTGTCAGAGTTCTGCACCTGTACACACGACCTCAGGTAAAGCATGCAGCATAATGCTTGCCCACAAAATATCAATGAAAAAAAAGCTGATCATTTGAAAAGACAAAAACCTTCAGTCAAACTAAGAAAAAAGGGAAAAGACCCAAATAAATAAAATCAGAGATGAAAAAGGAGACCTTATAACTGATACCACAGAAATTCAAAGGATCGTTAGAGACTATTATAAACAACTATATGCCAATAAATTGGAAAATCTAGAATAAATGAATAAATCCTTAGATACATACAACCTACTAATACTGAGCCATGAAGAAATCCCAGACCTGAATAGAGCAATAACATGTAATGAGATAAAAGCAGTAATAAAAAGCCTCCTATCAGAGAAATGCCCAGGACTTGATGGCTTCACTGCTGAATTCCATCAAACATTTAAAGAACTAATATTAATCCTACTCAAAGTATTCCAAAAAATTAAGGACAAAGGAATACTTTCCAAACTCATTCTACAAAGCCAGTATTGCCTCGATACCAAAACCAAACAAAGTCACAACAAAAGAGAGAAAACTAAAGGCCAACATCTCTGATAAACATGAGGCAAAAATTCTCAACAAAATACTAGAAAACTAATTTCAACAACACATTTTAAAGATCATTCATGATGATCAAGTGGGATTCATCCCAGGAATGCAAAGGTGATTCAACATATGCAAATCAGTTAATGTGATACATCATATCAACAGAATAAAGGACAAAAACCAGATGATCATTTCAACTGATGCCAAAAACACATTCAATGAAATCCAGCATCTCTTGATAATAAAAATTGTCTCGAAAAATAGAACGAACACACCTCAACATGAGATGTCATATGCAAAAAACCTATAGCTAGTATCATACTGAACAGGCAAAAAGTGAAAGCCTTTCCTCTAATATCTAGAACAAGACAAGGATGCCCATTTTTATCACTGTTATTCAACATAGTACTGGAAGTCCTAGTGGGAGCAATTAGACAAGATAAAGAAATAAAGGGCATTTAAATTGAAAAGGAAAATGTCAAATTATCATTGTTTGCAGATGATATCTTATATTTAGAAAAACCTAAAGACTCCACTGAATAAATCTATTAGAACTGATAAACAATTAGGTGAAGTTGCAGGATACAAAGTCAATATACAAAAATCAGTAGCATTTCAATATGCCAAGAGATAACAATCTGAAAAAGAAACAAAGAAAGTAATCTCATTTACAATAGCTACAAATAAAGTACAATACCTAGTAGTAGGCCTGGGCCAGTGGCTCATGCCTGTAATCCCAGCACTCAGGGAGACTGAGGCAGGTGGATCACCTGAGGTCAGGAGTTCAAGGCCTATCTGGCCAAAATTGTGAAACCCCATCTCTACTAAAAAAAAAAAATATATATATATATATATATATATACATAAATTAGCTGGGCATGGTGGTATGTTTCTATAGTCCCAGCTACTTGGGAGGCTGAGGCAGGAGAGTCACTTGAACCCAGGAGGTGGATGTTGCAGTGAGCCAAGATCATGCCACTGCATTCTGGCCTGGGCAACAGAGAAAAACTCCATGTCAAAACCAAAACAAAACAAATAAACAAACAAAAACACCAAAAAATTAGTATTAAATATCTAGTAGTAAAATACCTTTTTCATCAAACAAGTTAAAAATCTCTACAATAAAAACTATAAAATAATGATAAAAGAAATTGAAGAGGACACAGAAAAATGGAAAAGATATTCCATGTTCATGGTTTGGAAGAATCAATGTTAAAATATCCATATTACCCAAAGCAATCTACAGAGTCAATGCAATCCCTGCCAAAATACCAAGGACATACTTCACAGAAACAGAAAAAATAATCCTAAAATTTATATGGAACCACAAAAGACCCAGAATAGTCAAAGCCATCCTGAGCAAAAAGAACAAAATTGGAGGAATCACTTTACCTGACTGTAATACAAAGAATACTTCCAAACTCATTCTACAAAGCCAGTATTGCCCTGATACTAAAACCAAACAAAGACACAACAAAAGAGAGAAAACTAAAGGCCAATATAATACAAAGCTATAGTGACCAAAACAGCATGGTACTGGCATAAAACAGACAAAAAGACGAATGGAGTCAAATAGAGAATACAGAAAGAAATCCATACATCTACAACTGACTCATTTGCAACAAAAGTATCAAGAACACACACTGGGGAAAGTGCAGCCTCTTTAATAAATCGTGCTTGAAAAACTGGGTATGAGTATGCAGAAGAATAAAACTAGATTCTGTCTCTTATCATGTACAAAATCAATCATATAGGTTAAAGCCTTAAATCTAAGACCTGAAACTATAAAAATACTAGAAGAAAACATTGGGAAACACTCAGGACATTGGTCTGGGCAAAGATTTCTTGAGTAAGACCTTAAAAGCCCAGTTAACCAAAGCAAACAAAACGAAACAAAACAAAAAAGACAAATGGGATCACATTAAGGTAAAAGCTTGCACACATCAAAGGAAACAATCAACAAAGTGAAGAGGCAACCCACAAAATGTGAGAAAACAGGTGCAGACTATCCATCTGACAAAGGATTAACAACCAGAATATGTGAGGAGCTCAAACAGCTCAATAGAATACAAATAAGAATAATTCTTCCCCCCATCCTGAGACAGAATTTTGCTCTTTCGCCTGGGCAGGAGCGAAGTGGCATGATCTCAGCTCACTGCAACTTCTATCTGTTGGGTTCAACCGATGCTCCTGCCTCGGCCTCCTGAGTAGAGATGGGTTTCACCATGTTTGGCCAGGCTGGTCTCAAACTCCTGACCTCAGGTAAATGTAAATTTGTACAGCTTCTATGGAGAACAGTATAGCATTTTAAAAAACAAAAATAATACTGCCATATGACCCAGAATTCCCACTATTGTGTATATATCCAAAAGAAAGAAAATCAGTATCTCAAAGAGATTTCTGTACTCTCAGCACTATTCACAAGAGTCAAGATAGGAAATCAACCTAAGTGTACATCAATGGATTAATGGATAAAGAAAATGTGATCCTTATACACTATGGAATATTACTCAGCCATAATAAAGTAAGATTCTGTCATTTGCAACAACATGGATGGAACTAAAGGAAATTATGTTAAGTGAAATAAGCCAGGCACAGAAAAACAAATATTGCATGTGGGAGCTAAAAAGTAAAAAGCAACTTATGGAGATAGAGACTAGAAGGATGGTTACCAGAGGCTGGGAAGGGTAGCAGGGAGGGGTGGATAAAGTGGAACTTGTTAATAAATACAAAAATATACTTAGATATAATGAATAAGAGCTAGTATTCAGTAGCACAATAGGGTGCCTATAGTTAACAATAATTTATTGTATACTTTAAAATAACTTAAAGAGTGGAATTAAAATGTTCCTAACACAAATAAATGATAAATAGTTGAGGTGATGGATGCCCCAATTACCTGATTTGATCATTACATGTTGTATGCTGGTATCAAAACATCTCATGTACCCATAAATACATACATCGATTATGTACTCATGAAAATAAATAAATTAGCTTAAAATGCTGGCTTTTAACAGATCTTCAATATAGTAAAATGGTAAGCAGTAGGAATAAATAAGTAATGCTAGAAAGAACCAAAAAACTTTTAAGGAGTGGGGCTGCTGGTAGCAGTATTTCTTGATCTGTATTTGGTCAAAAATGTTTGTGTTTTTGCAAGGCTGGGTTTGCTTTATTTAAATATAAACAGCAAATATCTACATAAACTTTCACATACCTGTTAGAAAGAGGACAATTTTTGCAGAATTATATATCAGTCAAAAAAAGTTATTGTGTAATATAATTTCCCTCTCTGTTTAAGCCATCCCATTGCAAAGCAGGGACACAGTCCTCGTGAATAAAAAGCAGACTAAGACAATTTTCACTTTCAAGTCAATTCTTTGAAAAAGGAATAAAAGAGCGAAATCACAAAGTTTCTTTATTCTCTTCCACCATATGGGTCTCTTTGAGGTTTAGTAATATTATAAATAAAGCAGCTCTGAGATGAAATATGAAACTGTGAACAATGTAGAAACATTTTGAAGGTGCAAGTATTACATCCTAGTGTTGCCAGGCTTTCAGCATAAGTAAGATAGAAAACAGAGAACTCTCATTTGTTCTATCAAGAAAGCATAACTATTGGGTTCTTATTAAGACAATCTCTTGCAGCTGTACACCAGCTCTCAACTATTAAAAAGATTCTTAAATTCCCAGGGAAACAAAAATTAATTTCGATCATATAAACTTATTGTGTTTATATATATATATATATATGTATGAACTTATTGTGCTTTATTCCAAATATTTTCTCATCAAGGAGTTTGGAACAAAAATTTTTAGAGAGTTCAGTTCACCTATTACACCATTGTAAATATTTGAATGACCTCCAGCAACTTTGCTTAGAAAATTTCATCATCTGTATAACATGCCAGTGACAGCACAGCATTAGTGTCAATACATTTCATTATTTGGCAAGATAACCACTCATAGCAATAGATTAAAATTCTGATTGTCATTTTTCATATATTTCAGTTTCACCGCAGCACACTGGATGGTTGTTCTTGCCTTACTTTCCCTCTTGGCAAGATACTCATTTGTCAGATTTTATTAAAAATTTGTTTTATCTGTTAAAGCTTAGAGAATGAGCTAAGTGATACTGTTTTAATCCCAAATCAATATGTGTAGTCAGGTCTTGAAATAATTCCAATCACTGTAGCCCTTGTTCATATTTTAGATGGATAATAATGCTATTGTGTTGTTTTCCTTGGAACTCATTTTATGTATTCCATTTGTAGGAATTATAGTGACAATTGATCACATAGCCGAAACAAGGAAATGGATGTGATATTCATTTTCTGAGTTTTACAAGAATCTTCACTGGCAAAGTGAAACCTTATCTATATATTTGCTTAAGTTTGGAGAAATAGAGTAGAGGTGTACTTCTCAAATTCTAGTGTGATTCAGAACCTCCTGGAGAGGTGATTAAAATAGACTTGTAGGTCTCATAGCCAGAGATTCTGATTCAGTAGGCCTCGGTAGAATTTGGGACTTTGGGACAAATTCTCAGTTGATGCTGATGTTGCCAATTCAAGAACCATCCTTTGAAAAACAATAAAATAAAATGGAGTGGTCAATAGCAACGGCTTTGCCATTAAACAATCTTGGGTTTAAATCCTGGTTTCTTGTTTAAAGATTTATTAATTTGAGGTAATTTATTTAAACGATTTTTAAGCCTTTGTTTCTCATTTGCTCAATAGGGGTTTTGTATGTATTAGATAAAATAATGTCTGTCCAGCACTATATCAAGTGCTGGACAGATACCTGATAATAAATAATAGCCACAGTTATTAAAAATGAGATAATCACTTTTACTGGGATCTGTCTGGTTGACCATGCAGTGCTCCTGTTTCATACCTGGGTGTATTTGACAAGTTATTTGTCAGTTATATCTAGATAGGAGTTATCTGATTAGTGGGTTAGCAACTATTAAAGACTTGAATTGCTCAGGTGGGCCCCAAAATACTTAAATATTTTTATCTTTGGGCCTTCCTTCAACAGGAACCCCAACTAAATAGCATACTAAAATTTTGTTTGGTTCTGTCCTTTAAATTATTTTCCATGTAAATTTATATTTCCACAGTCTTATGTCTTCTTATGAATGATTTTTTTTAAATGAACATCGGTTTATTTTCAAAATCAAACTCGAGTCTTTGGAGACTAATATCCTTTCTCTCCATATTTTGTTATTAAGAGGCTTGGTGTTCTGCCAAGGCAACATATTAATAAATTTAAGCTTGAGATTTTCATTGTCATGTGAATGTTGAAATTGGCCCTCAATTACACAAAGCAGCCAATTCAACAGGATACGTGAATTGGATTTATAACGAACACGTTTGTGAAGAATTACTTTTAAATCCCTGATTTTGTGGTTTACTTCTAATTCATTCAAAAAGCATGATCCAGCAGTCAAAAAAATCTCAGCCAATTCAGACCAAGTTTATTTTGAGAAATACTTGATTTTACTTTAGTCAAGTGTTAATAAATAAATTTGTTTTACGTTCAATCACTTATCCAGTTGTTCATTTAATACTAAATCCCATCTTGCTGGTAGACACTGGACTAGACACTAAGGAAAACACCTCATCCTCCCAGAGCCTATAGTCTTGTGAAAAAGGTAAAAGTGCAGTTATTAGAATCTCATTTTAACAGGCTGATAAATCTTCAGTCCTTATCAGTTGTCAAGTGTTGGAAAAATGTTTGTATTCATACCCAATTACCCATGAATCTATCAACCATCACCCAAAACTTCACATACTTCACGATGTGGTATCCTCCAGGGTATCTAGCCAAAGGAGAACTTTACATTTCCTATGGTTGTGTTTGTAAAATGAACATAGAGATGGCAAATCAAGTCAGTTCTGTTGCTTGCAATTAGCAGTCACTTAAACTCTCTAGCAAAACGATGTGATTGAAGAAAACAGCATATCTGTACATCAAACTTGACTTTGGGGGATTTTCATACAATGCAGGAATTTACATTCACATGATATGTTATGAAATGAATGTTTGTGTTCTCTAAAAATGTATATATTGAAGCCTTAACCCGTAATGTGATGGTATTTGGCAATGGGGCCTTTGGTAGGGAATTAGGGCTAGACAAAATCATGAGGGTTGGGGCCCTTATGATGGGATTAGTGCCCTTTAAAGAAGAAACACCAGAGAGCTTGCTCTGTCTTGCTCCACCATGTGAGGACATGGTGAGAAGGCTGCCATCTGCAAATCAGGAAGAGAGACCTCACCAGAAGCTGAATTGGTTGGCATCTTGATCTTGGACTTCCCAGCCTCCAGAATGGTGAGAAATAAATGTCTGAAGTTTAAGCCACCCAGTCAATGGATTTTGTTATGGCAGTCCTAGCCAACTAAGACATGATCTCAGAAAGACCACAGGGATTTGTACAAATTATGGAAACACTCTAAACTTATATTATACCCAGATGGGTCCCCTTAGCTCTAATCTGCCAGGGCGGCTCTTTACTATTCCCTGAATGCAATTTGCTCTTTTTTGCCTCTGCTATATACTCCTCCCATGCTATTTTATTTGCCCAAAATGCCCTCCCCAAATCTTCCACTTCTGGCTGAGAGGCTCATCTTTTTTTTTTTTTTTTGCCAATCAGTTTGAGCTTATGAGGTTGCTCAGGTTAGCCTTGAACTGATGACCTCGCCTTCGCAAGCACCATGACCCCGGCGGGAGCCACTTTGGACCCCGAGAGGTAAGAAATCTTTTTTCATTAGCTCTAGCCCTTTCCTAAACAATACTTCATTACAAACTTCATGTTTCACCATGCATTCACATGTATCTAACTCTATTTTATCCTTATGTTGGTTCAAGGCTCTAGGTCTTATCTCTTTAAGTAGACCCTGAACATTCACAAAACAAGCCTAGGATCTAGAATTTTTAAATCTTTTGTGTCGTCCATTGGCTTTTTTAGAGTATTGTACAAATAAAATGGGAATCAAACTTATTGAATGAAAATTGAACTGGATGCCAAGAGCCAACGAATGTTTTAAGGCAAATGAATCAAGTACAGGGAAGTACAATAAAACCCTGACTCCAGAGGGTGCAGGTGCGGGGTGGGGTGAGAGTTGTTCTGGACAAGTGAGTTTAATGGATGGCTGAGGATTTATCTTTTTGCTTTTACTTTTAATTGTCTTGGATGGAAACATTTCCAATATAGCAATCTTAACTGTCTTCTCAAATAGTGCCTTATGAACATGACCCAGCCAGAGGACTTGGGGTTGTCACTAAAGACTGAGAAGCCCTCAGGCCCCACTGAGGTCTGCAGAACTGTTTGTCCCTAGTCTAAATGGCTGCAGATTGCTGTGTTTTTATTGTTGTTTTGTTTTTTTGGCTCTTCTGAGTCCTCCCTTGCCGCTGTCCATCTCACTGATGTCCGTGTGAGTGTGCCATTTCTATTCCCTGATCCTAATTTGCTGCTTCTCATCTAAAATGAGTTTGGAAATCAGATGTCCAAGCTCACGGTGGTTATTGTCATGATTATTATTGTTAGAACTGTGTGTAAACTGAGAGAAAAGGGCTCTCTGAGTGAGGGCTTGCCAGAGTCTCCATGGCCATGGCCAAACTGGGCAAGAGTCAAACACATCTATGTTGTGAACGCCTAGTTTGGCTCCTCTGAAGCCTTTTAAATTTATTTTCTATTCTTAGTTTTCTGTTCTGAAAATAAAACTTCCTGGATATATATGTTTCAGATAAATTCAGTCAGGTATTCAACAAATAATCATTGAGTGCTTACAAAGTGCAAGATACATGCTAGGCACTGTATCATGACCCTCTAAAATGAATATTCTATATCTTTCTATTTTCTATATTGTATTAGCACATCATAAATACTCAATAAATATTTGTTGAACAAATGAAACGAACCTTATAATTTGAGCAGTGATGAGATACACACCACACACACAAACAAGCTTACAATGTAACTACAGAGCAAGTCATCATAGAGATACAACTAAATTCTACACAAAGACCAAAAGATTATTTTCTGCTAAAACATCCAGAAGGACTGCCTGGAAGAGATAGCAGCTTTGACTGGGACTCGAAGGATGGCATCATATTTCAATCAGCAAGAAGTTAGGGAAGAAAGGACAAGAACACTGCAGACAAGACCCAGATGCTAGAATGGGTAGGATGTGTTTGGAAGCTGATCAGTACATTTTGGCTGGAGTGCCTGTAGGCGAGTAGGAGAAGATCATATTATAATATTATACTTTGGGAGGCCGAGGCAGGTGGATCACGAGGTCAACAGATCGAGACCATCCTGGTCACATGGTGAAACCCCGTCTCTTCTAAAAATACAAAAAATTAGCTGGGCATGGTGGCGCATGCCTGTAATCCCAGCTACTCGGGAGGCTGAGGCAGGAGAATTGCCTGAACCCAGGAGGTGGAGGATGCGGTGAGCCAAGATCGTGCCATTGCATTCCAGCCTGGGTAACAAGAGCGAAACTCCGTCTCAAAAAAAAAATAAAAAAAATATATAATATTATATTGGGGTCAGAGCATGGATGGGCCTTGACTACCAGGCTAAAGAATTTGGACTGTGTTTATTAGGTGATGGGAAGGAGCTGAGGGTTTTTGAGCTGGGAGGCAACATGCTTAGATCTGGGCCTTAGAAACATCACATTGGTAGCAGTTGGAATTTAGGAGTTGAAGAGAAACAGGGCTAGAGGTGATTCCAAGGGTGAGAAGTGATATGGGCATGAACTAGAATATTAGCAGTGGTAACAGAAAGGAGGAGCAATTGCCAATGATACTGCAGAGGTAGACTAAGAAAACTTTGCGATGTATTTGTTGCCAGGAGTGACACACAAGGACACATTGAGTGTAACTCCAAGGAATGTTCTTTTGATAGAGAGTCCACAAGAACAGGTTTTAGAGAGATGGTGATGAGTTTGATCGGGAATACGCTTAGGTGTGAGAGTGAACAGTTGATAGCTCTGCTGTAAAACCATGAATGAAGGAAGGGTGCGGCGGCTCATGCCTGTAATTCCAGCACTTTGGGAGGCTGAGGCAAGCAGATCACCTGAGGTCAGGAGTTCAAGCTCAGCCTGGCCAACATGGCATAACCTAGTCTCTACTAAAAATACAAAAATTAGCTGGGTTTGGTGGCGCATGCCTGTAATTACAGCTATTCAGGAGGCTGGGACTTGAGAATTGCTTGAACTGGGGAGGTGGAGGTTGCAGTGAGCTGAGATCACGTCATTGCACTCCAGTCTGGGTGACAAGAGTGAGACTCTGTCTTAAAAAATTAAATAAATGAAATGAAATAGGCTGGGCATGGTGGCTAACACCCGTAATCCCAGCACTTTGGGAGGCCGAGGTGGGTGGATCACTTGAGGTCAGGACTTCGAGACCAGCCTGGCCAACATGGTGAAACCCCATCTCTACTAAGAATACAAAAATTAGCTGCTCATGGTGGTGGGTGCCTATAATCCCAGCTACTCAGGAAGCTGAGGCAGGAGAATCACTTGAGCCTGGAAGGCAGAGGCTGCAGTGAATTGAGATTGTGCCACTGCACTCCAGCCTGGGTGAGAATGAGACTCCATGTCAAAAATAAATAAAAATAAAATAAATTAAATTAAGTAATAAAAACATGAATGGAAAATGACATTGAAAAGTACTAAAGAGAGAATTAATACTCACAAAATGAGTGCTTATGTGGATTCAGGCTACAAAAAGCGTTAGAAGATCTAAGTCTCATTTTTAGCCCCTTTTTGATATGACTATGCTAAAAAGTATTAATTATTCAATTTCCTTCCAAGTGAACCTTTAAAATAAAGTTTTTACTTGTTTTTCTGAGAGACTACTTTTGATGAGACCAAAGCGCTAGTGCTCTTCAAAGTCTGAGCGTTTTTGGACTTGCTCATGGAAGTAGCAGTAGATCCTTTCGTCAGAAACAAAAGTGTTTTCGGATTAGCAAGGAAATTCACCATGGAGTAAGTAGGGAAGTTAAGACACTGCACTGGATTTCCATTTTTTTCTAGAAGCATATTTTTCAAAGTAAAAAGAAACACATATTTTAATAATATATTTTATTTAAGCCAATACATCTGAAATTTTATTCAACATGTAGCTAGTACAAAAAGAATGGACATGTAGGATTTTGACAGGTAAATAAGAGGAAAACATTTATTCTAGACAAAGGAGACTGGGTATTTAAACCTGGTGTGATAAGAATGATAAGGCATGGTCAGAAACTGGCAAGAAGCAATTTCCATGTGGCTGGAGCACCTGCAGAGAGAGTATGGGGAGATGCCATACAATTAGGGAACTAGATGGATGCTACACTACAGATGTGCTGCTGAAAGCAAATGAGGTTATGAATGAAGCTACTGACCAGCTTATAATGGCATTGAATGTGTGCTCGTTGATAGGCTGTTCATGTTGACAACAGCTTTTGGCCCATCAGAACTGGATGAGCCTCCTCTTAGGTTCAAATCAGCTTCATCAGTAGGTTGCTGGAACAGAGGCCTTGAAGTGGGAAAGATTCTAGAAGATTAATACTACAGCCAGCAACCAAGATTCACTGTTGGATTGGGGCACAAATTTAATATAGAAGACAAAGGGAAGCAAAATGCCATCTTGTAACATGCATAGCACCCTAAGACATAATCATTCTGGACAGGAACATATCAGGTCCTTGGGGGTCAGGGAGTGGGGATAATATAGTTTCTAAGCAAGACCAAGGGGAAAACAACAAGGGCTGTACATCAAAGAGACTCTAGTTCTTTTTTAAATGCCATAAATAATGAGCAATTCTATCTTATAGAATTGCTCTGTCCAACATGGTGGCCACAAGCCACATGCAGCTATTGAGCATCTGAAATACAACTAGTCTGAATTCAGATTTGCTATGAGTGTCAAACACAGTCTACCATATTTCAAAGACTTCATATGAGAAAAAAATATAAAATGTTTCATTACTGCTTTTTGAATAATAAAAACATTCTACATGTTGAATAATATTTTAGATATGTTGGGCTAAATAAAATATTTTATTATAAGGAAGTAAATGTTTCTTTTTACTTTGAAAAATGTGGCCTCTAGAAAAATTAAAATATATGGCTAATTTTACTACTGGACAGAACTTCTATGGAAAGTTCATATTGGAATCATAAAATTGTTCTATCTCCTCTGATGTTTCTGAACTTTTTTCCTCATAGGGAACTTGCCAACATGTGTACTAGGAAGAAATTCAAACTGTAATAAACAGCTTAATGCATTCTTATCTATTTTCTAGGATTATTTATCTGCATTTTAATGTTTCTATGGAGATTAGTGCAACTGCAGGCTTTTTTTAATAGCCACGGTGTTCCGTACAGTTTGCATATTATAAAAATTATTTAAACAGAAAAATTTGAAATGGTTTATTGTTTGGGGACATTAAAAAGCAAAAAAGTCAAGGAGGGGAAAAGGTCTAATAATAATAACTTTCATGTCAGGCAAGTGTGGTCTGACATGTTCACATAGAGACCTTTTTAAAAAAGAAGTTATTGCAAAATACTCCTCCCTTGCAAAGAACTTGGAGCCAATATCTCTATTAGAACATCACATAACAATAGCAAATCCTCAAGAAGCAGTACTTGAAGGATCATTTGCTTTCACATTGGTAAACAGCAAGCAACTGTTCAGAGAAGGCGTTCCTGGATTCAACTTCAGGGCTTCCTATTATTATTATTTTCTTGTGGGCTA